AAGGAGGATCGTCTCCGCCTCGGCCTCCGTGCATTCACACAGCCTGGAGGGAGGGGGAGGGGGAGGGGCGGGGGGCACAACACGGGTTATAACACACACACACACATATACACACACACACTGTAGTGAAGAAACACACACTTAGAGGAAACAGGAAGAGTTTAGAGGGAAGCAAGGACAGCGAATCCACCCCCAAAGTACTGCCTTTTTACTTTGAATCAGTCGCTAGCATAATGAACAACTTTAATAACTTTGGGTGCCGTGATAATAGTCCTACCATCACGATTCAGTTATTTTCCGAATAAACAGGCAGATATGTAATAAAACAAGTAGAGAAAGATGCAATGCGTCTGAAATTCAAAGCAATCCATGCTCTTCCTCTGAGAAAACTACATTAAACGTCTTAAAAAACGTAAGTGTAGCGTCAAAAATCAAAGAATTAAAACAGAAAATGAACTCAAAAAATATGAATGCTGCTGAGGCACCAGTGCACAAAACTGCCTCCAAAATAAAATAATAAAAAATACTTTAATGTATACTCAAATTGATACTCATGAGCAGGACACTTCAGAAAGCCTGACTCAGATTGAGAATTACAGAGTTTTATCGTCTCCGACATGCCGAAGAAAGTCACACCAACACACCCCACTGCACACGCACGCACACACACACACACACACACACACACACACACACACACACACACACACACACACACACACACACACACACACACACACACACACACACACACACACACACACACACACCGAGCCTTTTACCGAGATCTGTGCTTGTAGACCACATGACCGTTTAGCCTTTTCTTTGGCGTCCAAACGGGGGAGTAGTTACTGTCACAAAAGCACTTGCTATACAGCGGGAAGGAGGAGCGTTTAATAAAAGAGAAGGATGAAAGGAGAGGTCGGAAAGGAGGCAAAAGAAAAAGGGAAAGTGAAAACGAAATAAAAGACAAACAGTGAAAATACACATAAGGGTGTGAAAAATAAATACTTTGAGGTACTTGTACTCTACTTGAGTATTTTCAAATGTTTCAACTTTATACTTTTTACTTCACTACATTTACTTTGCAGATTTAGATTATTAATACAAAAACATGAATAAACTCTTATATTATCATATATAATTATAGGTTAAAGGTGGGGTAGGTAAGTTTGAGAAACCGGCTCGAGATACACTTGTTGTTATATTCCATGGAATGCTCTTAACATCCCGATAGCAATGAATATCTTAAATGCTTTGACAACAAATCCATAAAAAAATATCATCTGTGGAAGCCGTGGTACTGTAAAAAGCACGACCAATCATCTGAGCCGGCCCGGCTAAAATAACTGGATGGCCTACCTGCCTGTCAGCCTTCCATCTGTGCACAAACTTACCTCGTGCCCTCATTGGTCATGTGCACGTTCGTGTGTGTTGGAGGAGGGGCTCTGTAAGGAAGTGGCAGATTTTCTCCGGCTGTGTATTTTCAAATTCTAGCGATCTCGAGCTGGTTTCTCAAAAATGACCTACCCCACCTTTAAGCTACCTCGTATTAGTATATAAAGTTATCTAAATAAACCCAACTTTTACCTCAAAATAGAAGTCATGAACACTTTCATTCACCAATATTCCTAATACCATAATTTGAAATACACGGTGCTTTTAATTGGTCCAATCTGCATATTGATTACTTTTACTTTTGGTACTTAAAGTATATGTGATGCTAATCATTTTGTACTTTTAAGTAGATCATATGAGTAAAATATACATGTATGATTGAATGAAATATGGTTCCCTCTGGTAAACAGTTACACATTGTATATGATGAACGAATGAGTCCTAAAACCCGGAAGTGTTTTACAACTCTCCCTCATATGGAAGTCAGTGCTTTTTTAAATGCATGTGAGAGGAATCCCTGTGTATTTGGTACTTAAAGTATACGTGACGCTAATACTTTTGTACTTTTGAGTAGATAATCCGAGTTAAATATACATGTATGATTGAAGAAAGTTGGATCTGAGTACTTGTTCCACCTCTGAGTGTAAAATATACATATATTATTGAATGAAATTGGGTTTCTGATGAACGAGTGAGTCCGCAAACCCGGAAATGAGTCAGTGTTTTACAATTCTCCCTCGTATGGAAGTATTTAAAAAATACATGTAGGAGAAACCCTGTGTATAAACAGTGTGTGTGTGTGTGTGTGTGTGTGTGTGTGTGTGTGTGTGTGTGTGTGTGTGTGTGAGGAAGCACTAGTAAACACTCACTCTGTGGTGGAGGCGGAGGAGTGCAGCGTGGCGATGCTGCCCTGCCTGTTGTCGTGCTGTAGTTTTGGGGAAGAAGGCATCGAGTCGGGCATCTCCTCCATCTCATCGTGGGCCGACTGGGATTTAGATTTCTTCTTGCTGAACGCCTGCTTAAAGGAGCTGCGCAACTGCAACACAGATCACACACATATATAAACACGTTAATACTGAAACCCAGCAAGCTGCACCTCTTTGGGGACAACAGGACCAGGAAGTCACTCTGTCTTAAGAACAGAGGGGGAGGCAAGCCGTAAGTAGATGAGAAAAGAGCGATGATGCAAGCTTTGAAATGACCCTAAAATCAGGGCGAAATGAACAACACGGGAGGAAAAAGGAGGAGAAGGAAGGGTCGCTGTATCCATGCCAACGTTTCTACAAAAGAGGAGGTTGCTCTGAGAGAGGAGAAGAAGACGAATAAGAAGAAAAAGTAGGAGAAGAAGAAGGGTCCGATAGAGGATGGGAAAAACCACGGCACACATTCAGACGATGCTCCGGGAGAAACTGACCTGAGCGGGGATGGAGTCGGACACCTGGAGACGCAAAACACACTCAACGTTAAGCCACGCAAACACACACACACACACACACACACACTGCTGCTTGTGTGTGATTGACTGAGCACTTTGTTCTGAGTAAATACAGATATGGATGTTTGCTAATCAGCGTTTTACTCTCAGGGTTTTACAAGTGCATGTCTAGATCTCGGACACCCAGAAACATGGAGGGGACATGACAGAAACAAAATGCTCTGAAAACAAATGTGGTAGTGTATGATAGGTTTAGTACTTTGAAACAAGATATGTGGCCTCAAACAAGCACGTATGGAGAAGCATGATGCTATGATAGAAAGCGTTGAGACGACAGGATTTTTAAGTATTCCTAATGTCACCCAAAATGAAATAGGGGAAGCAGCTCTTTATCCACCGTGCTGCCAAACTCTGGAAAACCCTACCAGAAAACAAACTGAAAATGTGTCATTAACAGCAGCTGAAAACACAACTGATCTATTAGACACTACTGTCTATCAAATTGTAATGATTGTATGTATAACTTCATGAATGTTACTTAACAGACGGTACGTGGTTTGTCATGCTTAGCTTTCTGTCCATGTATGTCTGTAAGACGTTGCTTTTGTCGGAACAAGATGGTGCATCTCAAGGGGTTTATCCTAATAAATACATTTCTATAATTATGCGTCCACCCATAAGTACTCAACCCTCCTATGCAGATTGTGTCTACATCGATGACGTCCACCTCCACCTCTAAATAGTCCTAATGTCTCCCAAAACAAAATTGTTGAAGCAGCTTTTATCCACCAGTCCCCCGATAAGTACTCAACCCTCCGATGCAGATTTAGTTAACTGTAATGAAGTCCCCCTCCACCTACCCAGCTTTTCTTCTTCTTCTTCTTGTCCTCGGCGTCCTTCCCCAGGCTGCCCATGCTGGAGTGACTCGCGGCGCTGTTGATGCTCGACATGCTCTCTGAAGAGTGCTGCCGTCTGATCCGCAGGTCTGGAACACAGGGACACAACCCTCTTTTAATATTCCATTCCTCACACACTTTAAAGGTCCCCTATTATACTGTTTTTCATTACTTTATTTTGGTCTCAGATATATCCAGAGCCTGTCTCTGATTGGCTGAAACACCAAACAGATCATTGCAGCATCCCATAATCCCCTCTGTTTCAGCCCTGTTTCCAAAGTGCTGATTCTCTGTCCGTTACTTTAGATGAAAATAAGGAGCCCCTCCCCACGCCCCTCTGAGAGAGATTTGGTTACAAAGAACACAATGGTGCTCTAGGAGGAGATTCAGGTGATAAGGGGGGGGGGGGGGGGGGGGGGGTTGCTGATTGGCTAATGGTTGCACAAGACAAAACATCGTTATGACATCATAAAGTGGCCAAAATCTGATCAGCTCATTTTCAGACAGGTTTTTATAGAAATGGATCAGGAGAAAAAGAGAGAGAATCTTTGTTCCTGAAACTTTCAGAGTCTCTTTACACAGAGGGGACACATGGTGATGTAGAAGAGACATGAAGAAGAGGGGACACATGTTGATGTAGAAGAGACATGAAGAAGAGGGGACACATGTTTATGTAGAAGAGACATGAAGAAGAGGGGACACATGTTGATATAGAAGAGACATGGAGAAGAGGGGACACATGTTGATGTAGAAGAGACATGAAAGAAGAGGGGACACATGTTGATGTAGAAGAGACATGGAGAAGAGGGGACACATGTTGATGTAGAAGAGACATGTAGAAGAGGGGACACATGTTGATGTAGAAGAGACATGTAGAAGAGGGGACACATGTTGATGTAGAAGAGACATGAAGAAGAGGGGACACATGTTGATGTAGAAGAGACATGGAAGAAGAGGGGACACATGTTGATGTAGAAGAGACATGGAGAAGAGGGGACACATGTTGATGTAGAAGAGGACATTGAAGAAGAGGGGACACATGTTGATGTAGAAGAGACATGGAGAAGAGGGGACACATGTTGATGTAGAAGAGACATGGAGAAGAGGGGACACATGTTGATGTAGAAGAGACATGAAGAAGAGGGGACACATGTTGATGTAGAAGAGACATGAAGAAGAGGGGACACATGTTGATGTAGAAGAGACATGTAGAAGAGGGGACACATGTTGATGTAGAAGAGACATGAGAAGAGGGGACACATGTTGATGTAGAAGAGACATGAAGAAGAGGGGACACATGTTGATGTAGAAGAGACATGAAGAAGAGGGGACACATGTTGATGTAGAAGAGACATGAAGAAGAGGGGACACATGTTGATGTAGAAGAGACATGAAGAAGAGGGGACACATGTTGATGTAGAAGAGACATGAAGAAGAGGGGACACATGTTGATGTAGAAGAGACATGAAGAAGAGGGGACACATGTTGATGTAGAAGAGACATGAAGAAGAGGGGACACATGTTGATGTAGAAGAGACATGAAGAAGAGGGGACACATGTTGATGTAGAAGAGACATGAAGAAGAGGGGACACATGTTGATGTAGAAGAGACATGAAGAAGAGGGGACACATGTTGATGTAGAAGAGACATGAAGAAGAGGGGACACATGTTGATGTAGAAGAGACATGAGAAGAGGGGGACACATGTTGATGTAGAAGAGACATGAAGAAGAGGGGACACATGTTGATGTAGAAGAGACATGAGAAGAGGGACACATGTTGATGTAGAAGAGACATGAAGAAGAGGGGACACATGTTGATGTAGAAGAGACATGAAGAAGAGGGGACACATGTTGATGTAGAAGAGACATGGAGAAGAGGGGGACACATGTTGATGTAGAAGAGACATGAAGAAGAGGGGACACATGTTGATGTAGAAGAGACATGGAGAAGAGGGGACACATGTTGATGTAGAAGAGACATGAAGAAGAGGGGACACATGTTGATGTAGAAGAGACATGAAGAAGAGGGGACACATGTTGATGTAGAAGAGACATGAAGAAGAGGGGACACATGTTGATGTAGAAGAGACATGAAGAAGAGGGGACACATGTTGATGTAGAAGAGACATGAAGAAGAGGGGACACATGTTGATGTAGAAGAGACATGAAGAAGAGGGGACACATGGTGATGTAGAAGAGACATGAAGAAGAGGGGACACATGTTGATGTAGAAGAGACATGAAGAAGAGGGGACACATGTTGATGTAGAAGAGACATGAAGAAGAGGGGACACATGTTGATGTAGAAGAGACATGAAGAAGAGGAGACACATGTTGATGTAGAAGAGACATGAAGAAGAGGGGACACATGTTGATGTAGAAGAGACATGAAGAAGAGGGGACACATGTTGATGTAGAAGAGACATGAAGAAGAGGGGACACATGTTGATGTAGAAGAGACATGAAGAAGAGGGGACACATGTTGATGTAGAAGAGACATGGAGAAGAGGGGACACATGTTGATGTAGAAGAGACATGAAGAAGAGGGGACACATGTTGATGTAGAAGAGACATGGAGAAGAGGGGACACATGTTGATGTAGAAGAGACATGAAGAAGTGGATGTTGCATAATAGGTGACCTTTAATGCACAACAGGAACGAGGCCAGTGTTCACTGTTCAAACACCTATACCTATAAATACTGAACACAATGAATGAGGCTGCTGAACAGTATCAGCAACAGGTTGTTTCCCTGCCTAATCAAAGCTTTTCATGCTATAAAATGCATCAAATCGTGAAACACTAAGTTGTCTAAGGCCTCCTCAAACAATCAGAACTTTAGGAGAGTTTGTTCCAGCCTCCCTGCTGTTTCCTGCCTACCTTTGTGCAGGTGGTCCGGTCCGTTGAGCGCCACCTGGATGGCGGTCTGAGCGTCAGTGTTCTGGGTCTTCAGACACTCGATCGTCTCCCTCAGCTCCACCAGCTCCGTCTCCTGCAGAGAGAGAATGATAAACAAAGGATGACGCACGGAAACATGTCTTTCTTTGGGCCGAATGTGTTCCTAAATTTGGCTTTGGCTCGGCTTTCAGTGGACGGGACGAAGATGAAGAGGAGAGGGTTATTTTGAGGAAGTCTCTCAGCGGGATTTGAAGCAACACGATCAGATAAAAGGACTTTCCTGTAATGCCATGCCCAAAGCACTGCAGATTCCACTTTAATTAAAAGTTAGGTAAGGCCTTGTTTAACGAAGAGATTCCACCAAATCCGACTCTGAATTAATTAACAGAGGATTAATAAAGAGCTCATTTTGAACAGAGGATATATGCATAATTCGTGATAGGGACATATTGCTCCTGCATTCAACGTCCTGTCCGTCATACAATGTGACTTCTTGAGGATTTCTGGAGAATTCACTGGTTTTAAATGTGTTTTTGGGTCCTTGGGTTCATGAAATATGCTGCAAACTGGGACCTTATTGCTTCTCTGTGTCCTTTGGGTAAGGTAGTGAGTGAATTAAGAGAGAAATTCAGACATATCCTAACATTTTAATATGAAAAACCTTTAATACAACCAATCACTTTGCCAGAAAGCTTTAACAAGTGTCAGGAACTGAACCTCAAGGTAAAATATACCCTTTAATCTACAACCCTTGGGTAATTGGAAATATTTTCGGAACCCCCCCAACCCGGTTCCCATCTATATTGGTAGGATTAATTGTATATTGTTGTAAAAAAATTACATTTTCTCTACTAATAATAAGAAGATACAAAGATCCACCTATAATTGTATATTTTATTATGGATTACACATGAACAAAAGTGCTTGTAATAGATATAATTTGGTCTAATTAAAACTAGTAGGCCTTCTTCCCTGAGTAGTAGATTTTTAAATTCAAATTTCTTTAAAGGTGGGGTAGGTAATTTTGGAGAAATCGGCTCGAGTGCGCTAAAATGTGAAAATACACAGCCGGAAAAAATCTGCCACTTCCTTACAGAGCCCCTCCTCCAACACACACGAACGTGCACATGACCAATGAGGGCACGAGATAAGTTTGTGCACAGATGGAAGGCTGACAGGCAGGTAGGCCATCCAGTCATTTTAGCCGGGCCGGCTCAGATGATTGGTCGTGCTTTTTACAGTATTACGGCTTCCACAGATGATATTCTTTTATGGATTTTTTGTCAAAGCACTTAAGATATTCATTGCTATCGGGATGTTAAGAGCATTCCATGGAATATAACAAAAAGTGTATCTCGAGCCAGTTTCTCAAACTTACCTACCCCACCTTTAAGGAAAATATATTAATGAAGACTTAACTACTATTTCTACTGCAGGTTGCAAACGATCACATCACTTTACCATTCCTATTCCACACATAGCCTATCAATGACTTGTGTGTGCTTGATTTCCCTTGCAGATCTTCTCAAACCGGGGCTGTTGTTTTGAGACTGCCACTCTCAGTTCATTCTCAATGTTCAGCTCTGATCTGTATTTCGTTTTGATGGCAGCAACAGCAGAAAAGCCTATCTCACACAAGTAGGATGTTGCAAAAGGCAGCATTATGCCCACAGCTCTCTGACCAATGAGATATTTTCGAGCAGTGTTTGTTTACAATTTAATAATAATAATAATACATTTGATTTATATAGCACACTTTAAAAACAACGTCATCTCAAGGTGCTTCACATCTTCCCGCGCCCCCCCCTGCAGTACCTCCGCGCCCCACCAGGAGTCGCGCCCCACAGTTTGAAAACCACTGCAATAAAGGATTCTATGCAGTGGCGGCGCCAGGGTATGGCTGGGGTAGGCTACAGCCATACCAAGAAATGGCTTAGCCCCACCTTAGCCCCACCATGAAAAATGATGTTAAAGTAAGCAAAATAAAGTCCGCCAACTCGCGCGGAGTAAATTGCACAGACAGCAGTTAGTAAGATTGATTTCAGTAGCCACTTGTCTGGAAATACCGAAGACTAGAAACAGTTTTGAAAACTTTTGTCACGTAGTGATCGTCTTCTCAATAAAACATCTTTGATAATGTCTTCTGGCCAATCAGAATCACGATAACGGCGTGGTGTTGTTGCAGGAAGTCCCGACGGAGAATACTTTTGCTGTAGTACATCTCTATACATCGATACAACATTAGCCTACCGTAATGAAATAAGACCCCACGGTTTGATGATTGATAGGTGTGTGGGCTGTCTTTCATTTTGACACACAGAACAATGGGGGCTATCCACCCTTATCCACAATGTAAAGTAATTTACACAGCCTCTTCCCTCTTCTCTCTGTGAGGAGCAGCAGGTTCAGCTTTCAGAACAAAGTAACACAAAACGAAAATGCCATTCATTTTTTTAAATATGTCGTGTAATAGATTTATTTATGTTTCTTCTCAAGAGAGTACCAGAATGTGTATTTTATGTTAGTATTTCAAAAAATCTCCTGGGGGAGAATCCCCCCAGACCCCCCTGCAGTGGTTGGTTTTTCAGCATGTCAACTCCTCCACCTGTGGGGAAATTGCAGGATTGGCTCCAGGTCGCCCTTTTTATTTACTACAAGACAAATGTGCCTTTTTATTTCATAAAGTTCAATTTGGATTGAGACAGGGAAATAATCTAAACCTCACGCGTGGCGTTTCACTGTCGGGGGGAGCGTGTATGTAATTACATTGCAAATACTGACTTGAGCCCCACCACTGTATGGGTTAGCCCTACCATAGATTACCCAACAAAAATACTCTGGAGCCGCCACTGATTCTATGATATTCTAATCCCTCGTCCATGGAGTCCACACACACAGTGTATATTTAACACATTTCAGATCTATATTTCTGAGCCGTGGTACCTTCTGCTCGGCCGTATTGGTGAGGCTCTGCAGGCGGCAGGTCATGTTGCTCAGACTGTTCTCGAAGGCTGCCACCAGGTGAGCCTGCAGACACACAGAGAGACATGCAAATCATTAGAATACATCAAAACACAAAAAACTGACCCAAAAAGATGAATTTTGACAAAATTAGATGATGCAAAAATGATCAGTATTATAAAAGGTTGCCTGTGTATTAATCAATATTCTACTGTTACTCTGCTATGCTTTTTAACCATGGATGAGTTCTTATTTGTGTATGTCCGGCAGTGGCTCAGTCAGTAGGAGCTTGGACTTGGACTGGGAGCTGTAGGGTCGCCGGTTCAAGTCCCCGAACAGACCTAAATATGGAGTGTGGACTGCTACTTGGAGAGGTCGCAGTTCACCTCCTGCCCTGTCGTGGTGCCCTTGAGCAAGGCACCGGACAACCCCCTTTCCCCCCTCACTCCCATTGCTCCCCGGGCGCTGGCTGTGCAATAGCTGGCTCCTAGTACTAGACTCCTGGTGCTAGGATGGGTTAAAAGCAGAGAACACATGTCACTGTGTGTGCTGTGTGCTCTGCATGTGAGACCATTAAAGAGGGGTTCATTACCTGTTACGTCACTTTTGCTGTAAACCTCCCCGCTTCAGGACTAATAAAGGATTTCTGATTCTGAATATTCGTGAATGCTAGCTAGAAGAAAAATCATTTACAGAGAATTGAAACGTGGGTTTTCTGGTAAGAGAAGTCAGGTTTCTTTTAAGTCAAACAAGACAAAGGAGCAAACGTGTGGAAAGTTTTCAAATCTGAAGGCTGTTATTGTGAAGAGGCAAAATATAAACTACTGATATCTAGTAAAACATACAATGCACAGCCCTTTCATTTCACCATACATGATCAGAATAGGGAGTTTGTATGGAGACCTTTTTATAGCTTTACAGTTGCATCTTATTGCCGTCAATAGTGTTTATATAGTATTGTATGTTCAAAGGTGTGATCTTAGAACAACATGACATCAATGGTTATCTATTTATATATAAATATCGTCAAGGCCCCAGCGGGAATCGAACTCGCGACCCCTGGTTTACGAGACCAGTGCTCTAACCCCTGAGCTATGGAGCCTGATTACAGGCCCTGGCATGCAGGAAACATTCCAACCACCGCACGGACAACACTAAGGAAACACAAAGGAAACTTACAGCCTCTTTAAGACACAACAGACATTTAAAGAAAAACATTTCAGGTAGGAAAGCAACAGAAGTATTATATCAAGAAAACACAAACATATATATTTTTTTAAACGGATTTAGACCAAAAAAGGTTAGATATACATTTCCCAAATGTGGTTAAAATGTTTGGAGAAAAACTTTTCCTTGACACTCCCTGGCGTCATGAGTCACCTGAAGCTGCCGAGGTGACACATTTGAAGAGGGAAGAAGTTTTTCCACCTGCTCTGCTGAACCTCAGGTGTCTGTATGAGTGTGTGTGTGTGCGTGTGTGTGTGTGTGTGTGTGTGTGTGTGTGTGTGGTGTGTGTGTGTGTGTGTGTGTGTGTGTGTGTGTGTGTGTGTGTGTATCTGGAGTGGCCGTGCATGTGTTTGTCCAGTCTATTTTTGTCTCTGAATGGCTGCTGAAGCCTTATGTTCCTGGTTATGTGTCCTTGTGCAAATCTGTGAAATGTGTGTGTGTGAGACTGCGTGGTAGTATGTGTGTGTGTGTGTGTGTGTGTGTGTGTGTGTGTGTGCATCTAGCTCATCCACCCATCCTTAGCCAGAGACCCTGAGACACCTGTCAGACCTGGTGTGTCACAGAGATGTGGGCAGTGTGCCCAGGCAGATCTCACACACACACACACACACACACACACACACACACACACACACACACACACACACACACACACACACACACACACACACACACACACACACACACACACACACACACACACACACACACACACACACACACACACACACACACACACACACACACACACACACTCTCTGTGTCCCCGGCTGCAAAGCAAAGGTCTTACAGTAACCTTTAGAAATACCAACTGTTCCTGCTGTGAGCTCCGTTTCAACAACGTTCAAAAATGTTTGCGTTGCAGCAGCATAAAGGACTAGGCATTGTACATTTGAAGGTGAGCAAAGCAGAACAGAAGTTGTCTTACTCTATCCTTCATAACTTCTAACGTCTCCCTCTTCATTTTATCAAGTTTCCTGAAGTTTCTCCTTCAGTTTCAGCTCTGAGAACAAAGCATCAGACCGGAGCCGGCATGCTCGATCAGTCGTAGGCGTTGAGGGTTTTTAGGGGGTGAGTGGAGTCAGACAGAGGTGGGAAGTAGTGGAGTACAAATTGTTACTGTACTTAAGTACATGTTTCTGGTATCAGTACTTTACTCCACTACTTATTTTTCTGACCACTTTTTACTTTGACTTCTTACATGTTGAACACAAATACCTGTACTTTCTACTTCTTACATTTTGAACACAAATACCTGTACTTTCTACTTCTTACATTTTGAACTCAAATACCTGTACTTTCTACTTCTTACATGTTGAACTCAAATACCTGTACTTTCTACTTCTTACATGTTGAACCCAAATACCTGAACTTTCTACTTCTTACATTTTGAACACAAATACCTGTACTTTCTACTTCTTACATTTTGAACTCAAATACCTGTACTTTCTACTTCTTACATGTTGAACACAAATACCTGTACTTTCTACTTCTTACATGTTGAACACAAATACCTGTACTTTCTACTTCTTACATTTTGAACACAAATACCTGTACTTTCTACTTCTTACATGTTGAACACAAATACCTGTACTTTCTACTTCTTACATTTTGAACCCAAATACCTGTACTTTCTACTTCTTACATGTTGAACACAAATACCTGTACTTTCTACTTCTCACATGTTGAACCCAAATACCTGTACTTTCTACTTCTTACATGTTGAACTCAAATACCTGTACTTTCTACTTCTTACATGTTGAACACAAATACCTGTACTTTCTACTTCTTACATTTTGAACACAAATACCTGTACTTTCTACTTCTTACATTTTGAACACAAATACCTGTACTTTCTACTTCTTACATTTTGAACCCAAATACCTGTACTTTCTACTTCTTACATGTTGAACCCAAATACCTGTACTTTCTACTTCTTACATGTTGAACCCAAATACCTGTACTTTCTACTTCTCACATTTCCCAAACAGGCTGGTTCCTTTAGTTTGAATGTGTGTTTGGTGGCGTGATCATTATTATTTAGAGTCATTGCGTGCCTATTGATTTGAACACGATCCGTGTATCCATCATTTCCTGGTCTTCTCTAAAGAAGAGGGACCAATGAAAACGTTGTCATGTTGCCGTTGTTCAGCATGGAAACATTCATTAGCTAACAATGACATTATTGTTCTATTAATATAAAGGGAGGTCAGGTACTCTTTAAAACAGCTGCTAGTTATGGGTACTTTTTACTGAAGTACATTTCAAAGCCCTCTTTACTTTGACTTGAGGAAAGAAGTTTAGTCAGTACTTCTACTTTTACCAGAGTATTTTTAAACACGAGTATCTGTACTTCTACTTGAGGAAAGGATGTGTGTACTCTCTGGAGTCAGACTCAGGAGATTTACCACAGCTCTGTCTGGGGGTCGAGGGTCTCTCTGCATCGCTCTCACCCACGCAGGGCACTCTTGAGTCGAGCTTCACTTATCCTCATCTCCCTGACTCTTTCTCCATTTGATTTTCCCAGCATGCTTGTATTTGGTAGCAGCTTATTCTCTCGCTGAAATCCCAGCGGACGACACACAAGTAAAGAGACGATCCTCTCTGTGCAGCAGATACACAAACACACGGAGGAACACATCCCATCTAGGGACAGCAACACAAACCTCACAATCAGAAGCGTAAACACACACACACACACACACACACACACACACACACACACACACACACACACACACACACACACACACACACACACACACACACACACACCACACACACACACACACACACACACACACACACACACACACACACACACACACACACACACACACACACACACACACACACACACACACACACACACACACACACACACACACACACACACACACACACAACGGCTTCAAAGACAGAGAAAGACACTTGTGGGCGTCTTGAAGATTTATATTCCTCCAAGTGCTTCCAATAAAAGCGTTCCAGCAGCAGATTTTATACTCATAAGACGACTTGTTAAAACCCACCATTGGAAACCCCCCTCGCTCTTACACCTCTCCGCTACAGATCTGTAAAGGTCCTGTTTGTACATGTGTGTAATTCTACCTTTGTTCATAACTTCTAACGTGTCCCTCTTCATTTCATCACACACAAGGAGTTCAGAAACAGAGACAAAGACTTGTGGGCGTCTTAAAGATTTATATTCCTCCAAGTGCTTCCCATAAAAGCGTTCCAGCAGCAGGTTTTTATGCTAATAAGCCGGCTGTTTTGAGGACGTATTTAAAACAAACTCACGTTGGCAGACAGCTGAGACGTCAGGGTCGCCACCTTCTCCTGAGAGGTGTCCAGCTCGCGGCGAAGCTTTCTGATTTGCTGTTGAGGAAATAAAGAGAAAAACAGGTATATAGTTTACACTCCTGTAGAAGACTGAATAAGACGTTCAAAACTTCCGTGTGGATAACTGTGATGTGCAGTAAGAGAAGACACTGGGGGGAAGTGTGGGGGATTACCGTGGAATTTTGGACTGTTTGGCCCTTGATTGAAAAGAGAAGAATAAAACAAAAATAAAATTAACACTTAGGTAAGTAATCCTGACTGGGTAGAAGAGCATTTCAGAAAGTATAGACAGTCACAAGAGTATCACACTCAAGATTAGTTCAAAATGGCTGTCAGTATCAGATTTTGCAAAAGGACATCTGGTTTACAACATATTTCCTGTCTTTTTAGGATATAAGAATTACCCAAAATATGCCAATTAAGTCCTTATTGTTTCTTATTCTCATTGCCAAAACTCTTAATAACAATAAAGCCCTGAGTAAAGGATGACAAAAAGCCCAAATTCACGAGTATGGCACCTGTTTTAGGATATGAGAGTAGAACACATTGTGCTTTGATTGACATTGAGAGACTCTCGCTGAATAAACAGTGCAACGCGCACGCACGCAGACAGACAGACAGACAGACAGACAGACACACACACACACACACACGTACACACACACGTACAGACAGACAGACAGACACACACACACACACGTACACACACACACACACACACACACACACACACACACACACACACACACACACACACACACACACACACACACACACACACACACACACACACACACACACACACACACACACACACACACACACACACACACACACACACACACACACACACACACACACACACACACACACACACACACACACACACACACACACACACACACACACGCTTACCTCTGAGTGGGCTTTCTCCTCCGTCTGCAAGAGAGAAGCAAATATTAATTAAACAAAATAGACATATGGCTCGATGTGTTCAATAAAGCAACCTCTAATAGTTGACTACAATACACAGCATGAGAAGATCTGCCAAAAGAGTTTTAAACTAAATTGGATAAAGCGCTTTGCCATCACACATTCATTACATTTCTTTGGTTTTGTGTGGGAGTTATTTTTTATTTTATTGAGTGATTAAGTCAAGACGAAACATGGGTTTGGACTGTGTGTGTGTGTGTGTGTGTGTGTGTGTGTGTGTGTGTGTGTGTGTGTGTGTGTGTGTGTGTGTGTGTGTGTGTGTGTGTGTGTGATCTGTTTGATCCTCCTTGTCTTTTGCTGATGCATTTGGTGGGCATTGTTATATTGTGCAGTAGTTTAGTTTAGGGTTTAGCGGTGGAGATACTCACCGCGGAGTAGAGTGAAGACGTGCTGGAGACCAGAGACAGCGAAGAGCCGTGGACTGAAAGAAAACACGGAGATTAATGAGGGACAAAACAAAAGGGTTAACAATATATAAATGTGACACTTCACAATCTTGCATTTCCCAAAGATATTGAAGTGACTGTTATTTTGTATATATTGATAGTTAGGCTTTTATTTAAGTCTTAATGTGTGCATATGTATAAATTCTGCTTTCTAGTTAATCTGACCATGAGTGAACTCTGAAGTCTTTAATACAAATAAGAGTAAGTGAAACGCAGTTCATTCAAAGAGTGTGTGTCAGAGTGTGTGTTACCTTCGTCCGTGCTGTCCCTGAAGGACCCCGAGCGGCTGATGCCTCTCTGCCGGTCCTCCAGAGAGGTGTTGCTGCCCCCCAGAGGGTGGTCCTCTCCGTACAGGTCGAAGGAGTCGTGGGCCGGGATGCTGTTAGAGCGACTCATGCTGCTGCTGGGGGGGGGCAGGGTGTACTGGCTGCTGTTAGTGGGACTCACTGGGACGGGGGGGGGGGGGGAAACACAGAATCAGTGTCGATCAATTTCTGTAAGATGCATCAGTGATGAAGTCATTCATGCACAACATTTAAAGGTCTCCTATCATGTAAAATGCACTTTTTTATGTATTACTATTCTAAGCTCAGATATATCCAGAGCTTGTCTCTGATTGGCTGAAACACCAAACAGATCATTGTAGCATCCCATAATCCCCTCTGTTTCAGCCCTGTTTCCAAAGTGCTGATTCTCTGTCTGTTACTTTAGATGAAAATAAGGAGCCCCTCCCCACGCCCCTCTGAGAGAGATTTGAAGAAGAGGGGACACATGTTGATGTAGAAGAGACATGAAGAAGAGGGGACACGTGTTGATGTAGAAGAGACATGAAGAAGAGGGGACACGTGTTGATGTAGAAGAGACATGAAGAAGAGGGGACACATGTTGATGTAGAAGAGACATGAAGAAGAGGGGACACATGTTGATGTAGAAGAGACATGAAGAAGAGGGGACACATGTTGATGTAGAAGAGACATGAAGAAGAGGGGACACATGTTGATGTAGAAGAGACATGAAGAAGAGGGGACACATGTTGATGTAGAAGAGACATGAAGAAGAGGGGACACATGTTGATGTAGAAGAGACATGAAGAAGAGGGGACACATGTTGATGTAGAATAAATGGATGTTTTTGCATAATAGGTGACCTTTAAAACAAACAGCAGAGTTTATCTGACAGACGTACGCAGGTTGGAGTAGTGGTATCTCCCCGTGGTGCACGAGGCTCCAGGAGGGGACAGAGGTGATTGGCTGCCGGTGTCCTGAAGCCCCCCTGTGGAGTGAGACCTCAACCACTCCTTCCCCTCCTCATGGGACGTCTGCCTGGAGGACGGAGGGTACCTGAACGCCACACACACACACAGGAAGTAAGTACGACCCAAAAAGCGATATATGGAAGTGTAAACATGTGGAAAATATGTGGATGAAATGACAAGAGGTGGGAGAAATACTCTTGTACTTGAGTAAAAGGAGAAGTACTCAGATCTTGTACTTGAGTAAAAGTAGAAGTACTCAGATCTTGTACTTGAGTAAAAGTAGAAGTACTCAGATCTTGTACTTGAGTAAAAGTAGAAGTACTCAGATCTTGTACTTGAGTAAAAGGAGAAGTACTCAGATCTTGTACTTGAGTAAAAGTAGAAGTACTCAGATCTTGTACTTGAGTAAAAGTAGAAGTACTCAGATCTTGTACTTGAGTAAAAGTAGAAGTACTCAGATCTTGTACTTGAGTAAAAGGAAAAGTACTCAGATCTTGTACTTGAGTAAAAGTAGAAGTACCAGAGTGTAGGAATACTCTGTTACAGTAAAAGTCCTACATTCAAAATGTTCCTCAGGTAAAAGTAGAAAAGTATTATCATCAAAATATAGTGAAAGTAGCGACAGTAAAAGTAGTCATTGTGCAGATTGGTCCATTTCAGAATAATATATATGATATGTTTTATAATGATTGATCATGAAAGTGTTCTCAAAGCTGGTAAAGGTGCAGCTAGTTTGAATGACTTTGTATACTGCAGGGTAGCTTGTGAATTTACTCCAGGTGGAACTAAACACTAACACACTAAAGTCTGAGGTATTAAATACATGTAGTGGAGGAAAAGTACACAGTAGCATAACATGGAAATACTCAAGTAAAGTACAAGTACCTCAACATTTAACCAAAGTACAGCATTTTAGTTACTTAAAATCAATGGAAATGACTGCATGAGTGCTACAAAATAAAAGGATGTGAGCAGATGGCAAAAAACAACATGCAGCCACGCACGCACGCACGCACGCACGCACGCACGCACGCACGCACGCACGCACGCACGCACGCACGCACGCACGCACGCACATGCACACTCTTTTGGTTTAAAGCTGCCAAACACACTGCTGTTCATCTCTTCGCTCTAAGTGGCTCAGCAGCAGAAGGCCTCCTTATCGCAGGCGTGACAATCGGCCATATTTAATCCTCTGAGGATCATAATTAGGTTTGCACACGTCCCTTTTCAGCGCCGTTTTGCTTGCCGATTTGTCCTATTACTACGCCTTTCACGTCTGACCCTGCGTTAGTCCCTTAAAACTGTGATTCATGTCCCCCCCCCAGCAGGGATTGGGCGTCTTTAAAATGTTTTGATTTGTGTGACACAGCAGCATTGACTCTTTGAGAAACACCCGTAAACAAGCTTATTTATCCGAGTAAATGAGGCAATTACTAGTCTAAGCTGCTCTTGTAGAAATCTAAAGATCAGGCAAAACATGTGTCTTTACAAAATATGTAGTATAGAAAAAAACTGTGTCTGTGCTGAACATCACGTCCAACAGAAGTGAAGTGTAGAATAAAATCGGATGCGTTACGCCCAAAACATCCAAATGCCATGGAAATAAAAACCAGCATTCCTCTTCCACATAATTGGAAAGTGGCTCGTTCCCTGAAGATGTTGAACCCTGTTATGAATGTTTTATGGTATTTCTGTCCCAGTCTCTTCAGTTGGGGCTAAAATCAAAGTATTGAAAAAATACATTCATGCTTGATCATCTAAGGCAGCATTTAGGTACACAATCTGGTATTTAAATGGTTGTTATTACTTTTGTAAAACAGCATTTTGTCGAGGTCAATCAACAGGTTGAAATGTGTGTTTTCATTCTTTTTGTAATACTTTCAAATGTGATTATTAAGTGTAAATGCTGCATGAATTAAAGAGGTGCTATAATGCTTTGTTGACTTTCCTGTAGTGTGTTATATAGGTTTTTAGTGCATGTCAATGGTCTGCAAAGGCTACAATTCTAAAGTTCCCACTCGCGCTTCTATTGGCTAGCGCTCCAACACATTGTACGTGATAGGCTAAGGGGCGAGACATCTCTTACCGGTTGACCAATCACAACAGAGCCGGCGAGCTAACCAATGTAGAGACACTACATACTGATATACACCTGAACATCAGCAGGAGAGGACTCTTTAAAGTAGAGACACTACATACTGATATACACCTGAACCTCAGCAGGAGAGGACTCTTTAAAGTAGAGACACTACATACTGATATACACCTGAACATCAGCAGGAGAGGACTCTTTAAAGTAGAGACACTACATACTGATATACACCTGAACATCAGCAGGAGAGGACTCTTTAAAGTAGAGACACTACATACTGATATACACCTGAACATCAGCTGGAGAGGACTCTTTAAAGTAGAGACACTACATACTGATACACACCTGAACATCAGCAGGAGAGGACTCTTTAAAGTAGAGACACGACATACTGATACACACCTGAACATCAGCAGGAGAGGACTCTTTAAAGTAGAGACACTACATACTGATATACACCTGAACATCAGCAGGAGAGGACTCTTTAAAGTAGAGACACTACATACTGATATACACCTGAACATCAGCAGGAGAGGACTCTTTAAAGTAGAGACACTACATACTGATATACACCTGAACATCAGCAGGAGAGGACTCTTTAAAGTAGAGACACTACATACTGATATACACCTGAACATCAGCAGGAGAGGACTCTTTAAAGTAGAGACACTACATACTGATATACACCTGAACATCAGCAGGAGAGGACTCTTTAAAGTAGAGACACTACACACTGATATACACCTGAACATCAGCAGGAGAGGACTCTTTAAAGTAGAGACACTACATACTGATATACACCTGAACATCAGCAGGAGAGGACTCTTTAAAGTAGAGACACTACATACTGATATACACCTGAACATCAGCAGGAGAGGACTCTTTAAAGTAGAGACACTACATACTGATATACACCTGAACATCAGCAGGAGAGGACTCTTTAAAGTAGAGACACTACATACTGATATACACCTGAACATCAGCAGGAGAGGACTCTTTAAAGTAGAGACACTACATACTGATATACACCTGAACATCAGCAGGAGAGGACTCTTTACGAGCCACAGCACACCACATACAGCCACATAAAAAGCACACTTTAAATGAGACAGAGTGTAAAGCAATGGAGTATGTAAATAAAAAGGGAGCAGTAGAGTCTGCAGATGTTTTGTACCTCAGTCCCTTTTTGGGGAGCGTGTTTCTGTCAAGAGGCATGCTGTTAAAACACAGAGGATGAGTGGATTAGATGACATAAAAACACTTTGGTCACATTTTAAAACACATACACAAAGACATAAGCAATGAACACAACAAAAACACATCTAATGCAACATAGTACTGACAACAAATGTAAAACACAGGGCAATTTAAACATCAAAACTAGAAAGATAACACCTCACTTTGTGACTTAATGCATGCACAGTATGTCGACAAAACAATGGGAACAACCTGGACAAAAGACTTTCAATGGACTAAATATTGTGTAGGAATCTTTCTGGCATGGTTTAGGACCAACAGTCTGTTATTAAACACTCACGGCTGTGTCTGAAACCACTCATTGCTCACTATATAATCCATTAAATAGTACAATAGCCACTCTGTAGTGCTGTCCAAATGTCAGAAGCATTAAACCCTAAGTATCCCACAATGCATCGTAAAAAGCAGTGAAAAATCGATGTTCCCTAACTGAGCATTTGAATCCATCATGCATTACGGTGAATGAAAAACCGCACACAGACAGAACAAATCATAAACTGTAGATGTAGCTAATCATGAATGTGGTAATGTGAGCACTTAGTTTGAATTAATTCACATCTGTTGTTACATTTACACCGTAGACATGTACAGTGCTTTCCCCAGTGGTGATCTGAATACTTCTTCCACCACAGGATTTCCCAAAGTCAAATGGTAAATGCAACTTGTTGGAGAAGCCTGTGACATAAGATTTTCAACAACATAATTACTCTGTAACTATGTCAGTTTGACAATAAAGAACCTTGAACCTTGAACCTTGTTGTAAAGTTGGCGGGCCAGTGAGTCGTAACCAAGTTAGTCAACCAAAAACCATGCCAGGAAAACAAACTGACGGTGGGTGAATTTATTCCTGTTCTTTTGTAAATACCACAGGAGCCTCCTCTGCATTATATCTGTTCTCTTACTGTATGAAACAATGAAACAATGATCCACACATCCTCTCCCCTGCTACTCACCCCTCGGACAGGGTGGACTTGACGCTGCCGGTGCGAGCCACCTTGTGCCCCTGGTGCCCCAGCGGCAGGTCGATGGACTCGATGGAGCTGGCCGTCAGACTGCTCATGCTCTGGCAGCTCAGAGTGTCCTTACTGCCCTGCGAGGAGCCACATGTGGGCCAGGGCCGAGCGTTGGAGGGCAGCGAGAGGCCGGACGCAGGGCTGGAGGCGGGGGACTCGCTGCACAGATCGGGGGTTTTCCCGTAGAGCGGACTGCTGCCTCCGCTGAGACCCCCGGCGCTGCCCAGACTCCCCGAGGAGGGCGAGTCCAGACTGGCCTGCCTCCCCAGCACCGACGGGCACTTCCCAGAGTCAGGGGTGCCCGGAGAACTGGCCTTGCTGCTGGCTTTGGTGCCAAACAATCTGGGGGAGGGGTATAGAGAGAGGAGGTGAGGAGGGAGTTTAGAGAAAGCTCAAAAGAAAGTTGATAGGTGAGAATTTGGTACTTTGAGGAAGTGGATTACATTGAGGTGAACTACATATGGTGTTGTATTACTGCATTGAATCTTATGGCCCCATTCCAAACCGACCCCTGACACCTTCTCCCTCCCAAACACATTTATCCCTCGCAGCCAACTCATCTCAGCTCGCTAATTTGCATCGACACATCTGCTTTCGCAGCTTTGCCCGATTCAACCCCGTGACTCGGAAGCACCTCACATGTTTCCTCTCCACTCTGTTCACCTCGCACACATGCTCACTGTTGGGAACATACTGAATGTCCTCTTCCAATATCCACGTGATAACAAAGGTATCCCAACTGTAGCTGTGTACATGACAGGATGTATGATTACCTAGAAGAGCATCAGGACTGTTTTAGGCATATGATAGCTATGTGATTAACATGATGATTCAGCCTCTATGGAGATAGACATATGACAAGCATGCTCATTTCTGACGTGGAGCTAATCTGAAGTAAACATTGAATACTGCTTTCTATTCCTCCATCTTGTGACTGTGTAACTCCCTCTCTTGGATATCAGCATGTGAAGGACACTGTTCAGGAACTAGTTGATGCTCTGTATGTGATGACTACTTCCATTCTGGAGAGCATCACAAATACATGGATCCTGAGATTGAAGCTCAAGCCGTTGACGAGTGAAATTCTTCTAACATAATTCTAACACTCACAAAGCCCACTACTCACATCACACCATAGCAATCACATTCAAAACATCTTGAGGGAAATGAAGCTGAAAACATGCAGATAAAACGTGTCGGTTTGATAGATTTGATGGGATGGATGTTCGGTCACGCCTGCAGAACGCATGCTTGTAATGAGTCAAGGAGTGCAGAAAAAAACCCTGTTTCCTGTCGGTTCTGATCAACACGGATAATCTGGATTTGCACGCCAAGAAAGAGAAGCCATCACAACTTCATCTTCAGGATAAGACTATATTTCATGTGCAGGGGCTTATCACCAATACCAGGAATCAATGTGTGAGCAGCTGAAGTTACGTAAATCAATCAAGCTTTCTATAAAAGGTAATACAACTTGATTTATAGGGTCTTAAAACTCATGTGGTGCATTCAAACATATCGACATTTGCTGATGACATTAAACTTTTCCTAATGTGACCACTGCAGATCTTCAACAATGAAATGCTTAATACATATTGTTTTGCGTCTGACCTGCGGAAAGTAGGAGAAGCGATGTCTGGGTATTTGGATCCCGGCTGTCTGAGTCCTGATTGGCTCGCTGAGGTTGCGGTTGGGCTGGCTTTGGGGGAAGTGGAGAGTCCTGCGTCCGGATCGGACACGCCCACTTTCTCTTTGTCCGTCTGGTTGATCGTGACGGGACTCGATCTCTCCGAGGTCACTTTTCCTTCCCTTCGTTTGGCCTGTGTCCAGAGGTGGGAAGTAGTGGAGTACAAATACTTTGTTACTGTACTTAAGTACATGTTTCTGGTATCAGTACTTTACTCCACTACTTATTTTTCTGACGAGTTTTTACTTTGACTTCTTACATTTTGAACACAAATACCTGTACTTTCTACTTCTTACATGTTGAACACAAATACCTGTACTTTCTACTTCTTACACTTTGAACACAAATACCTGTACTTTCTACTTCTTACATGTTGAACCCAAATACCTGAACTTTCTACTTCTTACATGTTGAACACAAATACCTGTACTTTCTACTTCTTACATGTTGAACACAAATACCTGTACTTTCTACTTCTTACATGTTGAACACAAATACCTGTACTTTCTACTTCTTACATGTTGAACCCAAATACCTGTACTTTCTACTTCTTACACTTTGAACACAAATACCTGTACTTTCTACTTCTTACATGTTGAACACAAATACCTGTACTTTCTACTTCTTACATGTTGAACACAAATACCTGTACTTTCTACTTCTTACATGTTGAACACAAATACCTGTACTTTCTACTTCTTACATGTTGAACACAAATACCTGTACTTTCTACTTCTTACACTTCTTACACAAATACCTGTACTTTCTACTTCTTACATTTCCCAAACAGGCTGGTTCCTTTAGTTTGAATGTGTGTTTGGTGGCGTGATCATTATTATTTAGAGTCATTGCGTGCCTATTGATTTGAACACGATCCGTGTATCCATCATTTCCTGGTCTTCTCTAAAGAAGAGGGACCAATGAAAACGTTGTCATGTTGCCGTTGTTCAGCATGGAAACATTCATTAGCTAACAATGACATTATTGTTCTATTAATATAAAGGGAGGTCAGGTACTCTTTAAAACAGCTGCTAGTTATGGGTACTTTTTACTGAAGTACATTTCAAAGCCCTCTTTACTTTGACTTGAGTAAAGAAGTTTAGTCAGTACTTCTACTTTCACCAGAGTATTTGTAAACACTGTACTTCTACTTGAGTAAAGGATGTGTGTATACGTCTGCCCTCTCTACCTGATTCGCTGCTGCTGACTTTCCGCTGGCGTTAGAGTCGATGCTCGTGGAGCTGGATCGATGTCCGCCTCGTCCCGCCGACACAGAACTGGAGGATTTGGCCGGTCTGGGCAAAGATCGGTATTGAAGGCTCAGTTTTGATCCGCTACAGCTGAGCAGAACGTCGTTTTCATCCTCGGGCTGAGATCCATCCAGGCTGGTTTTACGACCTCCACCGATAACGGAGCCTTTTCCGATGCCAGCGGATGACTTTGGAGCTTTTCCCAGCGTGGCTGATCCACTGGAGAGCGTGGCACCACTGGAGGTTATTAGAGTACCGCCAGGAACGGGGATCTTCTTGTATCCGAAGGAGGCGGTGGTGGTTGGGCGTCCGATTCCAGAGGGAGGTTTCTTCCCTTCGTCTCCACTGCTCTTCCCAGCGTCTGAGGGCGAGCGCTGGATGGCGGCTGAACTCTTGGAAGGAGACTTTCCCTTCTCTGAAGCCTTAGCATCGTCCGTTTTTCCTGTTAGAATCAGACACAGCTTTATTAGGTTAAGTAGGTTTACACATCTGTGGAATTGTGGAATTTCTTCCTGCGACCTAAGATTTTCCTTTGTACACTGTAGCTATGAACAAATGACAATAAAAGCCTTGAATCTTGAAAAGAAACACACAATTCCTCGGATGTGTAAACCTACTTGGCAATAATCCTGCGTCTGATTCGGATACACTTTGATTTATACACTCAGCATGAAGAGGGGGCTTAAACATGGCATTGTTTTTTGTGAAAGGGCACAAATATGCACTATTTTCTCTGTTTTCTCTGTGTTACTGTGTTGCACTGTTGGAGGAGCCTGTGCCCTCAGATTTTCATTGACATAACTACACGGTAGCTAATGTGCACATGACAATAAAAGCCTTGAACCTTGAACCTTGAACCTTGAGCTCCTACCTGGTGTTTTGTGAGCAGCAGAGCTACTCTTGGTCCTGGGGGGTGTGATCCCCACCTGGGCCGTCATGCCCCTCCTCCACGAGCCCGTCTGGGACATCTGGGCGAGCGCGGCGGCTTTCTGCTCGGCGTCTTCGTACTGCTGGCCCTGGGTTTGAGAGGAAGAGGAAGAGGAAGACGAGGAGGAGGAAGCCTTCCATCGAGAGGATCCTCCGCTGGCGTCCATGCTTGCCTCCAGCTCCTCCTCCACCTTCTTCAGGTCTTCAGCTCCGGCCCAGCTGCTGCTCACTTCCTGCTCGGCATGCTTCGATCTGCTGCCTTTCTGGGACTGTTGGAGTCAAAGAAAATACACATAAAGATATTATACTAAAAAAAAAATTGACAATAAAGAACCTTGAACCTTGAACCTTGAACCTGATTATCCCTCCATTAATGACACATTATCCTTTTACTTATTTAAACACATTCAGCATTCACCACTTTGCAAACAAGTCCCTGCAATGTCTGTATGTGAAGCTATCTTTGGTATCGACCATGTCCAGATCCCCTCCTGTCAACACACACACACACACACACACACACACACACACACACACACACACACACACACACACACACACACACACACACACACACACACACACACACACACACACACACACACACACACACACACACACACACACACACACACACACACACACACACACACACCTTGACAGATGGCCAGTCTCCCTAGCAACACCAAAGTGTCTTTAGAGCCGTTCTGTTGAGTATTTCATGAGGGGCCAGAGATACTTGGCAGAGTGACGTTAAAGCTGTGAGCAGAGGCCTTCAATCTGCACTCATATTTTCCTCAGCTGTGATTTCTAAAGCTCGCTCGCACGCACGCACGCACGCACGCACACACACACACACACACACACACACACACACACACACACACACACACACACTGGCCTTGGCTTCATGCTAAACAGGCATTTCAAAAAACGACGATCTGACAATTTAATCTTTTAATAGCACTAAACGTTGTCCTGTCTTTTCGATCTAATTTCCTATAACTGCTTTGGAAACTTTTCCCTGTTCGGTTTTGAGGTAAAGTGGCACTCACAAAAGACAATTATAAACCGGTTAAAATCTGAAAAGATGGGTCAAGCTTAAACACTACATTTTTTTTATAAATTTAGAACAATTTATGAAGAAAAATAACAAATGCTATCTCTAAATGTCTTGTTCTGTAAGTCTAAAACCCAAAAGATATTCACTTAAATGTGATAAAATGTCAATAAAAGATTGAAAAGCAACAAATTAAAATGTCCAAAAAGCTGAAATCCGCATTTTCTAGAATATTTGCGAAATAAATTACTTTAAAATTGAATCGATTATCAAGGTAGATGCACTTTACTTCTCTGTCCATCGACTAATCATTGCATCTCTAAATCAAAGGTTCTGGGAAATTATCATGTTGACCTGATTATTGCACGAACATAACGTAATACATAAGAAGTTATCCCAGGTGTTCTTAAATGTGAAATTTAGCAAACGTAATTTCTGAGAGGCTGAAATCTGCATTTTTCGAGAATTCTTGCAAGAAAACGTACTTCAATAAATCAATTTTATATAAAATATCAAAACAGTTGGAGTTCATTTCCTTGTCCATCAACTCTAAATCAAAGATTGTGAGAAGTAACAATTTTGACCTGATTATTGCACCAAAAATAAAGTCAGATAAGTTAGTCCCAGGTTAAAATGTTGACCTGATGAAAGCCCCAAACTAAAGTAATAAATAAGAAGGTATCCCAGGTGTTCTTACCTGCGCTCCTTTGCTCTTGCGTGTCGACGAGCTGACAGCAGAGTAGGCGGCTGTGTTCAGATCGTCGGTGCTGATGTTGTCCAACGTGTCGCTCAGACCGCTGCTCACAGAGCTGCTGTCGTCCCAACTGCAGGAGGGGAGGAGCAGAGGGGTACGATTAAAGGTCACCTACTACATCAACATGTGTCCCCTCTTCTTCATGTCTCTTCTACATCACCATGTGTCCCCTCTTCTTCATGTCTCTTCTACATCAACATGTGTCCCCTCTTCTTCATGTCTCTTCTACATCAACATGTGTCCCCTCTTCTTCATGTCTCTTCTACATCAACATGTGTCCCCTCTTCTTCATGTCTCTTCTACATCAACATGTGTCCCCTCTTCTTCATGTCTCTTCTACATCAACATGTGTCCCCTCTTCTTCATGTCTCTTCTACATCACCATGTGTCCCCTCTTCTTCATGTCTCTTCTACATCAACATGTGTCCCCTCTTCTTCATGTCTCTTCTACATCAACATGTGTCCCCTCTTCTTCATGTCTCTTCTACATCAACATGTGTCCCCTCTTCTTCATGTCTCTTCTACATCAACATGTGTCCCCTCTTCTTCATGTCTCTTCTACATCAACATGTGTCCCCTCTTCTTCATGTCTCTTCTACATCAACATGTGTCCCCTCTTCTTCATGTCTCTTCTACATCAACATGTGTCCCCTCTTCTTCATGTCTCTTCTACATCAACATGTGTCCCCTCTTCTTCATGTCTCTTCTACATCAACATGTGTCCCCTCTTCTTCATGTCTCTTCTACATCAACATGTGTCCCCTCTTCTTCATGTCTCTTCTACATCAACATGTGTCTCTGAAAGTTTCAGGAACAAAGATTCTCTCTCTTTTTGATCCATTTCTATAAAAACCTGTCTGAAAATGAGCTGATCAGATTTTGGCCACTTTGTGATGTCATAACGATGTGTTGGCTTGTGTAACCATTAGCCAATCACCAACTAAGGTAACCCCCCCCCCCTTATCACCTGAATCTCCTCCTAGAGCACCATTGTGTTCTTTGTAACCAAATCTCTCTCAGAGGGGCGTGGGGAGGGGCTCCTTATTTTCATCTAAAGTAACAGACAGAGAATCAGCACTTTGGAAACAGGGCTGAAACAGAGGGGATTCTGGGATGCTGCAATGATCTGCTTGGTGTTTCAGCCAATCAGAGACAGGTTCTGGATATATCTGAGAGCTGTGATATATTTATGAAAAACAGTATAATAGGGGCCCTTTAATGTTCGTAAAACAGTTCTCCATCTGTGTTTTTTTATTTTTGTTTGACTTGTATGTGTGCACCACGACATCAAGTCAAATTCCTCGTGTCAACCTACCTGGTAATAAACCTGATTCTGATTCTGATTCTAAAGTCATGTAGTAATCCTAACACCAGGTTCCTTAACGTCTAACATTTCTTTGAGCGATGGCAGAAGAAATGTGTAAAATGTTCCTTTACCAGCTAGGAAAGCAGACGTGAAAATAAATGTTATTTATTCAAAACAAAGAAACTAATTACGCTTTGTTGTAACCAGTCAATTCTGTCTCGCTGTCTATAATTGATCACAGACGAGGATGAGACCTGAAGGCTTTAAATGAGACAACGATGAGTCATTCTTTAAAAAGGCTTACAGAGGAGACAGGAAGATAATTGTGTTATTGATTTTCCTAAGTTTGTTCAGAAACTCAATGGGAGTGGTATTCTTTAAACACAAGCCATATTGTATTATTTCAGCGTGTAAGAAGCCTGTTTTTGCAGAGATTTAAAGGGGATATTGCCACAATCTACAAGCAAAAACTAATATATATCGACCTGAACTCAATAGGAGTTGTTATGCTTAAAACATGCCGTTCATGAGCCATATTGCATTATTTTAAATGTGAGTTTGAGCGTGTAAGCGGCCTGTTTTTGCAGAGATTTAAAGGGGATATTGCCAGAGTCTACAAGCAAAAACGAATACGTGATATATATCGACCTGCCGCCTTTAAAAGGTTTGAAATGAATTATTTTCACACACCTTGCAGCCCAGTTGTCCAGTGATGCAAGGTGAAATTGATTTGCTCTTTTGACAGATTTAGAATTAGCTGCATTTATCTTTCCGACCAGGCGTATAAATGACACACACACCTGCACACTGCTTTGTTTTAGGATGGGATATTAAAGCTGCATATAATACGCTCAAACAATGCATTATCTTAGGCCGTGGTTTTTTGGTGGTCATGAGGCTGGAAACGTGTGTTTAGAGAAGTAAGAACCATGACAACGTGTTTGTGTTTTTTAGTGTGTATTTAACGTCTTATTTTGCCATCATCTGTCATTTTGAAACGCCTTTTTCCTTCAGTTCAAAGCCATTATCTTGAAAGTGCTTCCAGAAGTTTGTCGTCCACAGAACTACTGCTGTTCTTTAATAAAAAGAGGCTTTGATAAAGCTCTGGTATCAAACACAAGTCAACCCGAGTGTTTGACACACACAAGGCTCTCTCAGACAAAGCCTAAAGGAAAATCGACTGCTTTAAATCCCTTTCATTATTTCCTCTCATGAGCACTTAAGCCTGTCTTTGCCGACACCTTGGCTTTGATTTGATTTAAAGGCAGCGCCATCTCACATCAGCTGCTTCGAGGCTTCAGAAAGCGCGCTGGATGACGAAGAACATTTTCCCAGTGGCCAAACGTTGATACTACAACAGAAACTAACTTACAGGTCCACCAACAGGAAGCTGAGCAACATAGCTGAGAGTTGAGGTGTCATGTGACCCTGAAAAGAGCGTTAATGCACATGTGTCAAACTCAAGGCCCGGGGGCCAAATCAGGCCCATGGTGGATTTAATTTCGGCCCGCAGGATCATTTGTAATTACTATTAGATCTGGCCCGCCGGTATATTGCACGCACACCTTCACTCCATCTTGAGGGTTTCCTCAGCTCAGAGCCTGAGCCCAAACATTGATGACCTTGCACCCAAGATGAGATGCCAAGTATCTGGCTTGAACTAGCATCACAGAGCAGCACACTGAGTTTACATGGATGTTTCCTTCTGCACTTTCTTTCTTGAGACAACAGGGCATGTTTGGTTTGTTCTTTGAGGGAAATAGTTTTGTTGAAGCTGTTGTTGGCCTGTGGAAAAATGTAATCATAAGAAATGACTCTGGAAAAGCTGCAGATAGAGCCATAAGAAATGAATGCTACTGATTATTTAATGTTTAATGTTGTTTTTATTGGCAATAATTTAAGCTTTGTTAGTTCCAGGTTTAATATGTGCAATAAGTTCATTTCAATAAGTTCTGCAATAAACATTGAACCAGTCCGACCCTCGGCTAGTACCCATTTTTTACTTTTGGCCCACTGTGTATTTGAGTTTGACACCCCTGCTCTAGTGTTTGTTTGTAACGTCTCTAGAAAGTGGGGATTTCTAACAGGATGACAATGTTAGTAAAAACCTAAAAAGAGCATCTAGTGTTTGTTGTAAAGGATCAGATGTTATCTCTTCTCTGTAAGATGTTCTGTAGGATAATACTTTAAGTGTGAATCCATCTCTACTGCCTGAATCTGCTTTATGGGATATTTGTTTTTGTTGTTTTTACATTTTTCAAAATTCCCTCTTTTTTTTTACAATTTTTTTTTTTTACAATTCTAACTTTTTTCGAAATTCGGACTTTTTTCAAAAAGTATTTGTACTCCACTACTTCCCAACTCTGGATATAAATAATTGTATTTCTGTTGTTCTCTGAGAGTTTATAAGCATCATATTCACAGAGGGAAACTTTAAAGAGACCAAAGACACAGATGGTGTTTAACAAGTGCTGATTGCTCCTTGTGCCCAATTACACATCTCAAATTATCATTCAAGCTGCATTTAAAGGGAGAAAAGGTTCCACATCCTGATTCATTTGCTCCAAACGGAGACAAATTGGGCTTGAAAACATGCAGGGCTTCACATTTACTCACAAAAAGAGGATGGTTGAGTGTGTCATCATAATAAAGGAGCAGGCAGATGGTGAGAAGAAGCTTCTTATCTTAACATGAGAAACGTCTTTTCCTCCTTCTGGGGGGTCTCTTATACCATCCTAACAATCCTGTGTAATATTATTCTCACTATGTCTTCTTGGGTAATTCTTAATTAACATAATGATTTCACAGTTTATAGCTCCCGGAGTCACAGAGTAAAAGATACCCTTTAGCTTCTGCATTCACTTCTGTAATTACTTTACATTTGTGTTAATTCACAAAGCAAGTTATCATAATGGACGGCAGCTAGAAAGCAGAAAATGAAAATGCATTTTACATTTTTTAACAGGCCTGAAACGAAACTGTAGGCTATCAATGTCTAATATAAAAATAAAATCTAAAAGGTATTCTTCTTTCGCCATATGTTGTCTATCTTATTCGTATTAAAAGACCCTGTTCAAACACTATAGACGGACTACTTCAGTCCCCTGACATTACTTAAATGTAACCCTAACCCTTTCATGCAGTTAAACTCAAATAGATAATAAATAGACATTAAGGGGAAATGTCTTTACTGGGACATGTGACAATATATATAGGAATTTAGCATTACATATAAAATACCCTCATATTAAAGGTGCCATATTCTGCTTAGTTCCAGGTGTATATCAGTATGTAGTGTCTCTACTTTAAAGAGTCCTCTCCTGCTGATGTTCAGGTGTATATCAGTATGTAGAGTCTCTACTTTAAAGAGTCCTCTCCTGCTGATGTTCAGGTGTATATCAGTATGTAGTGTCTCTACTTTAAAGAGTCCTCTCCTGCTGATGTTCAGGTGTATATCAGTATTTAGTGTCTCTACTTTAAAGAGTCCTCTCCTGCTGATGTTCAGGTGTATATCAGTATGCAGTGTCTCTACTTTAAAGAGTCCTCTCCAGCTGATGTTCAGGTGTATATCAGTATGCAGTGTCTCTACTTTAAAGAGTCCTCTCCAGCTGATGTTCAGGTGTATATCAGTATGTAGTGTCTCTACTTTAAAGAGTCCTCTCCTGCTGATGTTCAGGTGTATATCAGTATGTAGTGTCTCTACTTTAAAGAGTCCTCTCCTGCTGATGTTCAGGTGTATATCAGTATGTAATGTCTCTACTTTA